TGAAGATGAAGACAGAACAAGCAGCAGTTAAAAAAGCCCCTGATGAATAAATGCAACCTCATTTTCACTGTAGGCACCAATCACGCATGCCGTAGTTATGATACATAAGCACCCATGGGGGCATTATATTTAACCTGGCAGAAGACTGTTCATTAAGCATTAATTTGGAGCAGCACAGGAGTGACTGGGTGCTAATGACATCACTTTTTATTTATAGCAGCTCTTAATGTCCCAAAAGATAAGATCGGCTAAGGTGCAGAGACAACCAGGCTGGTTGGCATCTTCTGCTCCACTCTGAGATTATGATTAAAACACACATTTTTATCAAGTCAGAACAAAGATCTCATGATCAGGAGATGCGATGAGGATGCTGGAATTTGAGTAGTGGTCACCTGGATCAACCGCATTCTGCTTTCCTATGCTTGCAAATTAACAGAAGTCAAGCCCTGAAGGGGAGTAAGACAGGAAAGAGCAGAAATGAGAGCTCCCCTTTACGTCTTTTCTTCCATCTTCAGCAACAGAAGACTTTCAACGATAATCTAGCAGAGATTTTCAATTCCTAAATTTCTGATAGTACAGCAGAAACATTCCCACTGCTGAAAAAAGGCAGGTTTCAGGGAAGCAGTCTATTTGAATACTGTGCCTACGTACTTAATTCTCAATCTGTATCTCCCTGCTTTGCAAATAAAAGTTCACCGAGAGCTGAACACACACTTTCCCTGAAACAACAGTCATCACCACTTGAGGTTTCATTTGCATCTCAGGTAAAACTCTTCTCCATGCAGCTGAAAGGGTACAGACCTACATGACACAAGGTTTCTGCATAACCAGGAGCTGTCAGTGAGCAAGTTTAATTAAGGAAGAAGCACAGTTTAACCAAAAGATTGCTTTAAACTGCTCCAAGCCCCAAAATCATGTAATCCAAGTCATCTGAAAACCAGTAATTCTACCTATAGCACGTGCATCTGCAGTTGCCATGTAGCAGGTTCTCAGTAATCTCAGGTATTCAAAATTACAGAGACATCCTCGACCACCCCGACACGGCAGTGGGAACAGCTGAACACAGTGGCCGCGGCCTCCTGCGCACTGCGCGGCAGCCTTGTGCAGCTGCAGCTCTGCTCACGGAGCTCCCGCTCGCGCTGCAAGCGCCTGCCCTGTCACAAGCAGGGCTCCCTGACAGGACACCAGTCTGAAGAGAAGCTGTTGTATTACGAGTCAGCTGCAATGTATTAAATCAGAAGCTTCTTGTCTGCTACGTAACGAACATGCTTCCACAACAGGAAGCAGTATATGCAAATCTCAAGGATTTCCCATCCTCTGTTGAGTTAGACAAGATTTCCATCCACCTCCCTTTGCTAATCTAAAACTCTGGCCCACCCCACACCTGCTAGCAAATAAAGTGTTCATTTAAACACTCAGATTTAAGTTTATTCATACACAGCAAATTTCCACCTGCATATTAAAAACAAACAGATTAGAAGTAAATGTTTTATTCTTCCAACTAAATTCCAGTACTACAAGGGCAGTAAAACAATGATACACTGAAAAATTGCAGCAATAAACATTTGTTAAAGACTGATAGAATAAATAAAAACTACAAAAATGAGAAATCATATAAACCCATTCTTAACCCCCAAAAAAGTCATGGAATACAGAAATGCCCTCCTTCACTATTTCACAGGCAGTACTGTGGGCTATTTGCTTAAAATTGTCCTGGGATTACATTCTAATTCAACTGTGATTACAGCCTTGTTGTAGTGCACAGTTATGAAAACCACACTAACTTCAGTCAGAAGTGTCATTCTACGTTTTTATTTACACAACCAGTGAAGGGCAACTTCTAGAACACCAGCTTTAATCCTTTACTTTTTCAAACTTATTAACATAAGAAGCCAAATTGTAATGATACAGCAAATGAGGCCACTGGTATTATTACAGGTAGCAAAGGTCCACATCCAGGTGGTACTGACATCAGGGAGCACTCCAAAACCAGTTGCTGCATAAGAGTGGTTGCCACTGACAAAAGCTTGAAATAACCTGTGTTCACAGGGGGAGAAATATGGCATTGCTGCAAGTCTTTACTGGGACAGCTTGCAACAATAAAAGAGGGTGGATAGGGCAGCCCACATATGCAGAAAACGTGATTCATGAAACGTCTGAAAAGAGAAGAAAACACACGTTAGGAAATCAGTAAAGCCAGGTCTATGTCAAATCTTTTAGGACAATGTTAAAGCCTGCTTCAAAAGCAAAACCCAACATTTTACGGGCGATGGGTGTAGAAATATTTAAGCAGGGGTGGCATTTTAATCTAACATCACTGTCCTTTCAACCTAAGCTTTCTAAATTGTCAATTTAGAAGTATTTTAGCCTGGGGCCTAGCTGAAGCTGAACAACAGATGAGCCATTTAAGTTATGGATCCCTCGGGAGCTTAGTGCCGCTACGGGAAGCGAAGCGCTACTCACAACTGGCAGGCTGTTCTCCATATCGTCGCATGATCTGATCATGCGTGAACTTCACAAACGCGTCGTATTGTTCTGCAGGGAGGAAGCGGGAGAGGGATCACTCTATTAACACAGGCTGGAAAACATTCAAAGCTACTTTTTATACCATGTAAGTCTTATCAGTTAAGCACACACCCCGCTAGCAGTATTTTAAGGAGACAGTTCAGAACTGCCATTTCTTTACATGCATAAGAACACTGCAGCACATGGCCCCTTAATTAAAAGATTCTTCCCTTAGAAATACTGGTAACAAAAACCAACCTCAAAGATAAAATGCTGCACATGGATGCATAGCTCTCAATATGCCTGGCATCCACTGAACTTCAGACACTGCACTCTGAAGTGATCAAGGGCGCCCATTTTACACACACATAACAGGCGCAGGACAGATAAGCAGACAGGACATTAAGGACAGTACCACTTGGGGTGGAAATAAAATTCTCCCTGCTCTAGTAGCTACCAAATATAAGAAAATTAATTACGTGAAATGGCAATACAGAAGTACAGGAGAGGGATATGCCACATAGTGAGAGATTCTTTGGGTGACTGCCAGAAATCAGAGCAAAAGAACCCAAAAGGAAGAAAGGCTAAATGACTAATACTTGACTAATTTCAATCACAAAAGTAGCCACAGTAGGAGAGACATAATTGACTCTGGACTTCATGAAAACAGCTGTCATGTAGTCTGAAATGAAATTTAGACATGAAAACTATTCATTTGGCTTTGAACTAAAAGCTGTTATTTCCCACAAGGATTATTATTCCTGTACAGCACATACATACAAAGACAACGTTCGCAGTGTTTTACTTAGCTTTAATACTGCACTCATCAGCAGGGTATCACCTCTCAGAATTAGGGAACTGAACAAGGAGAGTAATATCTACCAGCTGGCACTCCATTCCCTTCCTCCTTTGCGGGAAAACACCCGTGCAGCAAAGTGGGGTGGTCTGAGAAAAGGGCAAGGTCAAAGGCAGCCACCTTCGAGCCAAAACGCAGTCGGGGTGGCGGTGCTTCCCAGGCCCACACATTTGCCCCATCCAAGTGCCCATCCTCCTGCAGGGACAGTGCATCAGTGACCAGGAAGCAGCGCAGCAGCAGCCCCGACTTGGACCCAGCTTTGTGCGCAGGAGACGTCCCCAGGGCCAAGCAGCGCCCCTGCCCATGGGCACAACCTGCTGCGGGGCAGCTGACACCAATGGCTCTTCTGCAGCCATGAGGCTCATAGCAGAACCACCACCAAATAACAGAGCAGACTGGGTACCCAGAAGCCATTCCCAAGAATAGTGACTAAAACTTTTCTTAAAAGTCTGGATTAAAGGCCAGAAACCAGTCTGCAAGCTCTTCTTTAAAGATGCAAGTCAGAACACACTGATGCTTTGTAGAATCTTTGTTTAAAATATGACTTTGAAAACAAAAATCCATTGTTGCTAAAAATCTATTTTCATGTGTTCAGTTTGGGAAAGTTAATCCAGTGGTAAGCGAAAACTACAGTGAACTGCTGAAAATGTAAGTGAACACTTGTAAAGCTACTTACACTGCTGGCATCCCATGTTGCAGATGTTATAATGACCTCTAAATCTCTAAATCAAAAGATGACTAAATACCATGTATACAAATATCATTACTGTGCCCTACGACTTGAACTCTAGTACCAAAGGCCTTTATTGTTATAACGAGATCCTAGAACAGCCTTGGAGCTGCAACTTCACACAGCCTCTCACCCTCCTTCAGTATTAAAACCTACAGAGGATTTTTCTAAACCAAGTTAACGCTAACACGGTGGTTCCACACAGCACAGGCTTAAGGGGAAATAAGGGGCACCACAGTGTCTGGTGTTTTCCATTCAAATACCCATTCCATATAGAAAGCAACTCTGCTCACAAAGAACGGGGGAGAGGAGGGGAAAAAAAAAAAGGAGGTATCTGGCAAGTTACAAGAAACCCCCAAGGTCAGAATGCAATGGAGAAGACGGCAGAGACCGAACCACTGAGCTACTTCTCTTAGAAGAAGCCATTCACTTAAATTTTATTGCAGAATTTGCAGTTATATTTTCGTATTTCCAATGACTTCACTATTCTGTAAGAACAATTATCATCCTACTGTACATAGTTCAAAAAAGAATATAACCATTCCGTCAGCAGAAAAACATAACTAGCCTTCTATTTAGGGAATTATCCCAAATTCTTTTGGCGGTTTCTCTCTAGATTACCACACACTGCTGAAAACCTACTATTTGCTGGATATATGGGATGTAGTAACTATCTTTTTAATAAGTTTTTGGTGACCACTGCCCCTCACAACCAGTAAACGTAACCTTGTGCCACTGTAATAACAACAACAGGAAAAAAAAAATAGAAGTCCCTCCTCCTCCTCTTCCCTCTCCCCCAGCAAAACAGCTCCCTTTGGCCTGACAAGGAGCACACTAGGAACTTGCCATGAGGGCTGCTGTTGTGAAGGGGTTTGTACTTGGGAAGCACCTGGGACAAATATATGATCATGAGCTCAGAGCAGGTACATTTGTGATCACCAGTCCCAGAGAGCAGAGATCAGGTGCTCACAAGCACCCCCTGACCTGATACAAGCCCTGGTGGCTCTTGGCACAGGCCCTGCAGAGGTTTCAGTCTCTTACCTGAAGGGGTTTGCAAACTCTAAACTCATGTGGTTTTGGGTGGGAAGCGAAATGGCAGAATGTATTCAAGAGCCTTTTTACTGCCACAGAGTGTTCACTTTTATTAGTCACACTAACTACTAAGTATTAAGTTAAATGCTGAATTGTCCTACCTCTGCAAGCACCAGATCTTAACTGCTCGTATGTTAGAAAGATGCTTAGAGGCAAAAGGAAAAGGTATTTATGGGTTTAACAGTTACGTCACATTTACAACACATTAACACCACCCTTACTGAAAGGTGAGTTGGTATCAAGCACAAAAATATCAGCTGAATCACATGAAATAGAGTAATTCAGAATGCAGCTAAGTACTAGCACTCTAGCAGTCCTGCCACCACTGGCAGCAGTGCAATGGCAAATGCTGGGAAGAGAAAAGGAAATCTTAGGTACTGTCATCTTGCCAAATTCCAGAAAAAGGAAGTCAGTTCCCAAGGAGGGGGGAGAAAAAAAGTCCTTCACAAAGAGCTCTTAAGTCAGTAAAATAGAAAGTCTCTCTGACAAAAAAATAAGCAGGAAATGGTCGATTCAAACATGACAGCAAGAGAAAGTTCTATCTGAAATAAAACCTCTGTTTCCACTGATTAGTAATACTCAAGAGTCACAGCTTCTACTCAAGGCAGCACAGAAGAGAACACCCTATCAAAGAAACTGCACATCAGGTTTTCTGTCCCATATTCAATCTCGTTTCTTAATCATATTAGGTCAGAAGAAGGAGGAGAAAAAAAAGAAAAAACACACAGCGTAACACTAGGATCAGAAAAAGGTTTCCAAATTAATCTTAACAAAAAGTACCTGCAAGTTTTGTGGTCAAAATTTCTTCATACTCTTCACGGATTTTCTCTTCACGTTCTTTCAGCAAACGTTCACAGATCATTCCAACTTGTCTGAGAGTAAACAGAGGCTGTTCTTTTTTCAATGGTGATGATGCTGCAGATGAAGTACCTAAGATTAAGTAGTTAATTGTTATGCTCAAATATTTTGAAGTAGTTCAGAAACACTTTTTTTAAGATCTAATTTTCTTGACATTTTAGATGGATGGAACTTCCCAAAACATTTGGAGAACTGTCTCTGCCACCTAAACGCTTATTAAATATTGGATATTCAAAAGGAAGATATCTGTAATGGATGATATGCACAGAGTGTATATACGAAGTGTATTAAACATGATGAAATAGACAGAAGGACAGACAAAAAGACACAAACAAACCCTGTACTGTATTTACAGATTCAGGCTTCTGTTTTTAGCAAAAATTACTGTAAAATACTTTGCAAAGATTACAGCTTCAGCAAAGTCTACTGTTAAGATCTCTGGCAGAGACAGTTTCTTGAAAGTGTTATAAACTTTGTGCCCTGCTCTCTCTCTCACAGCAAGAAGGTAGAATTTTCAAGCTGAAAATACTAGTATTGCCAAAAATGCAACACTGAGCAGGGAGAATATATGAAAATACATGAAACACCAGATAAACTAAGAAAAATTATTCACTTGAGAGTCCAAGAACACACACCAAGACTGCACAGAATTTTTGAGGCACCTGGCAAAGCTGGTCCAGTGAGAAGAAATGCATGTGGTTGTGCATCAGTAGAACAACAAGGATCTGTCTGCTGGAAGCTATTTTCTAAGTGTCTCCTCTTCTGCATGCGTTTGTACTCCTGTTTTATGTTGTACAGAATTTGTTCTAAAATATAAGCAACAACAGTTAAGCATGAGATAATTACCTTTCAGCATGTAGTTTATCTCCCTTTAAAACACTGAATACTGTAGACAATTAACAAATTATAAGTTAGGCTGTTAAAATACACCTGGCAGAAACCACCAGTTTTATGCAAGAAAAGGCCAAATAATGAAGCTAACCAAAGGAAAGGTAAATCCTGACTGATTTTATCAAAAGAGCAAAAAAAATCGTGTTAGTTAAGGTGAAGTATCAATGCCAGAATACAGCCAACATAAAGCAGCATCAGGTAAAACTCTGGGAAATACCAAGTATATACACGGATGAAAACATCAGCCTTAGAATCTCTATGGGTTTCACCATCCCCCCTTCACTGATTTCAATTGCTACCTCTTTTCTCTCCCACAACACCACACTTAGAGATCATATAGCTAAGGGTGACAGAAGGCTTCAGAATAAAACACCTCAAAGGAGAAAAAGAAAAAAAAAATCCTGGCTGCTTAGTTACTGACGCATAGGTAGTAAAATGGTGGGCAGAACATTAAGAGGACAGAATGTTCTTAAAGCAACTACTGCTTTAAATCTTTACAAAACCTTTGCTTTACTTTCGATAAGCAAAGCACAAAGGTTTCTACAAAGAGCAGTTTTTGACGGTTCAGATCTAAGTAAACCCACTGGTCAGATCAATAGTCTCTTTCAAAGGAGTAAGGCAACATGTAATTCAGCATGATTGCACCAGGCGAAATACAGCTCCTTAAAAAAAATAAATTTTATCTCTATTGTAGGAATACAAGAAAAAATATGGCAATAAAATAGCCAGTCCTAAGTGTTTGCCCTGTGAAATTCGATGTCACAAAAAACCTCCCAAGGACTTCGGTGCCAAAGTGGCCATCTTTTGGCTATATTAAACATTTCCAAAACCAAAACAATTAGAATTTTCTAAGCTTTACAAGACCACTTCAAAGGAAGGGACCACCAAAGACTTCCTTCTGGTGGGAGTTCTTATTTTTAAAAGCTCAACTATGCTCAAACTGAACCTAAGGTTCCACTGCAAAGGCAACTTCCCAAGACTCACATCCATGCAGATCAACGCGTTCACATCAGAGTGTCAAAGGAATCTGCTCAACACCTTCCTACTTCACCATTTTGCCAGCGCGCTAGCATGAGAATTTCTGAACCAAACGTCAGTGCTTGCATACACTTAGCTCAGCAAGGTCTACATTAGAGCATTTGCTAACACGCCACCATATGAAGCAAGCAACTTCAGCACTCCACTCGGCAGTCGGCAGCGGACGAAGCCGACGGCAGACCAAGCACAAGCAAATATCTGCCAGTTCCCAGTCTAGGGTTTATCAACAGGAGGCAGCCTGGGGTCTTTTGATTTCTAAGACAGGAAACTGTTCCCAGCCAAGTCTGAAAGCAAAACAGCAGCATCCTCAGCAAAGAAGCTTCTTGTTTGGATTGTGTCCTTTGATAAAATGCCCTGCAATTTATACTGTTCAGTCACATACTTATCATTGCTTGTACCATTTTCAAAGCCCTAAAAGGAGATCAGTAACTGTTTCAAAGAGCAGCAACTGCAGAAGATAGAGAAGCACGGGGGGAAATGTAAGCAAAGAGGAATAAATAAATAAATAAATAAAGTATTGAAGAGTGACTGGAGAATTCATACTTTTTGTAGGTCGGGCACACATACCTACTTGTCCTACTTGTAAGACACATACCTACTATACTCCACAGAAATGTTTAAATCAGGTTAAACCAAGGTGCAATTAGACTTCCAAAATTAACTGGAATCCTATGGAAAAATCTGTCACATGGATATACTACGTCAGATATTCTGAGACGGACCCTACAGCATCGCAACACTTTTCTGAACAGCTTTATCGTACTAACACCATATTTTTCCTCAGAAGCAAGTGTTGGTCTAGTCAGAGAGATACTGCACAACTGTCAAGGGAACCCATACGGCTCACAAGACATTATCTGTCTTAAGGCATGCTTACACTATAGAATACATGACTGCAAAGGCTCAAACTATATTAACTGAGGACTGTAACACACCACACGCACCTTTCACCACTACTTGACCTTGGGCATACTTTTCAGGTTCCTAATGAACTGCAAAACATCCAACAAATCTTGGTGCAATAGCTTTGATAAATAAATAAACACTCCACAATTCTGCCTAATATTAGCTTTATGTAAAAATATTTTCAAAACAAATTAACCTTCAAAGAAAAAAAAAAAAAAAACTAAACAACTTATGGTCGGTGGACAAAGTTACAAGAGTAAACACACCGATCAAACACACTTAAGAGCAAAAGAAAGGTAGCATTAAAGAAAAAAATGACTGTCATACAAAATGAAGATCTAAATAAATTTTCTATTCTTGGTGCACAAAACTACACTGAGTTATGAGCCTATAAATCTCAGTGATACTACCGCAATTCCATCTACTTCTAGTCTAGCATTATTTTGTAATTTGCCATCTTCAAATCTTACTCTGATAATCAAAAAAAAAGGCACTTGACCAAGACACTGACCGGCACATTGCAGGTGGGGAGAAAAAAAAGAAGCAGGGGGAGAAAACAAAGCAAAAACTATGACAGATTGCACTACTGTAACAACTGCATGAGAAAATACTGCTTAGAAAGGACACTGCAGCTACATTGCAAACAGCCATCAGCAAAACAGCCAGGCTGAAATGTGCAGTCATGCCTAAGCACTTAAGCACGTAAAGAAGCCTGTTCTGGTCAACAGCCTGCCTATACATAGTGCAACTGAAGGGAGGTAGAGCAACATTGGCCAGCACAGAGCGCTGGACGGCAGCTGAAGATCAGAGCTCTCCTAAGCTGCGAGCACACAAGATGACTGTGAGAGTGACTCATCTTGCACTTCCTCACCTCCACCATTTGTAAAACCCACATAATAGCTGAAAAACATTAGCTTAGCTTAACATAAAACTGTTCACAGATTTTTTACATGAACAGACTACTAACGCTTCAAATTAAGCAGGCATATGCTTGCAGCATCAAAGAAAGGTAAGCGTATACACATATTTTTACACTCCATGACATGACTTAGACAAAACTACTTCACCATCAAGTGAAGTGCAAACTTTCAAACATCCAGGACCGATTTTAAATGAAAAACTGAATAACAAATTGAAGTCACTAAGAAAGAACACTGAATTAACAATAATTTCCACTTGGATTTCCATTTGGATTAAATTTGTTTTCAAAAACATCTTTCCTATTTTATTAGGGATGCTTTTTAAGAAGTGAGTTATTTTCAGGCATGCATAATATAGGTGCAGTATATCCAAATTTACATAAGTAGTATTGGCAACATATTTATTCCTTTTCTTAATTTACTAAAACAGTGAAGAGTATTCTCTAGTTGTCATACTGCATCTCCAGAAAAACTAACTGAATTAAATGAATTTTATTTTTGAATCTGCCTTAAATATTCTGTAGGTTTTTTTTTTAAAAAAAAAAAAGGCTGTTTAAATTCACCAAGTTATTTCCTGCATTTACCACTCTAATAAATCCACAAAAAAAATGCTTGATGAACCAACAGATTCTGTCCAGAACATCTTTCCAAGAAGCCATGAAATATTAAGTCAATGAGAGTCAAACCATTTGTGACGAACATCTATATGGTAAACATCTAGCTGTAAAGTACGGTTAAGCCTAATTTAACAAAACTTAGAATTAGTGGGGCTCATTCACCTTCAAAGTTTTTTATTCCTGAAAATCTTCCTGCTTTTTCAGTTGTTTCTTAAGCTAACTGACAGTGAAGGGAGTTAAGTATTCTCTCTCCATTTAGAACTGAGATAAAATGTGTATCTAACAAATCACATTTAAAAATCTAGAATCTAGAATTGTACTAACTGCACTGGAGTTAAAGAGAACAGAAGTACATCTGGGCATCTTAACACTAAAAAAATATATACATCATATCCACCTACAACACCTTACAGGTGCTGAAGTTCAAACTGGATACTGTATTTCAGGTAATAATGTTGTAAGATAATGAAAGAAATATACTTATATGATCAAGCAGCACTGTGGCCCATCCGCAGCTTCATTTCCATTTTCACTTTACTGACTGTGCTCAGTGTTTCCTACTGGCTGGAGGTCCCACTGAGGGGTAACAGGAAACAACAGGCAAAGGGACTGAAGTAAAATGAAGCTTGCCTGACCTAGGCTGCTACCAAGAAAAATGCACACTGCTAACACATGGAAATGATTTAGTATTTCATAAATGACATTTCAAAAATCAAGGTGACTATGAAGCCAGAAGGCAAGGCAAGAGTCTATGCCCCTTCTCTTCCCGCAGTTAAAAGGTCAGGTTTGAGACTAAGATAAAGAATGATATACGAAAGTGTCACTGTGACCATGACTGCTAAAGACATGGGGGATTAAATACATCTGAATATAAGAAAGTGGATAGTTACTCATTTTCATCTACAGCTCTGTATATGAAGATAGCACAAAAAATGTATTTGTTCATAAAATACTGCATTAAGACGAAGATTGGCATTCACACAAGTCTTCCTTCAGAACTTAAGATATAAGTTAGGAAACTAAAATTACATGTTTCAGCTACTTTCATAGCTAGTGAAAAGAGGATGAAACCTGAAGTGGGCAACCCCGAATCTCAGCTTGACACCTGAAATATGATTTGTCACACTAATGGATCACACAAAGCCAAATACTCATTTCCAAGAGATGATGTCTAATTCTTACTTCAATTCATGAGGAAGAGACAAGAAGTTACTCTCTTTAAAGTTCTATCATCTAATTACTTCATCCTGCAATTATCTAGAAATTATGTACAACTGAAACAGCATTTCAATTTTAAAAGGTAACAAGGCAAACAATTATTTTCTCCATTTTAATAATTGCTTATCAGCTAGAAAGGTGTTGATTGTTTCCCCTGAAGGATTTTTTCCTGGCTTTATTTTTAAACTAGCAATCTCACATCCCAATTCTTGGCTTCCCTCATTTAGCTGAAGGAAACTCTGGCAACAAGTAGAATGGT